ATGACTAGGCTGGAGCTCAGGGGTCTCCTTCTTTCCCTCATGCATATTAAGTTTATTTTTGTCTCAGGCCTTCATGTGCCTGATCCCCTCTCATTCCAGTTCAGATGTTACCTCCTCAAAGAGACCTTCCTTGAGCTGCCTATGTCAATTACTTCTGTCCCCCTGACTCTTTATCACAGCATTCTTTGTGCATGTGTTACTTATTTCTGAAATTATCCTATTTCTTTATTTACACATGTATTGTTGGTCCATGTGTCAGCCTTGTCTCTGTCCTCCAACAACAAGAATAGCACATGGCACATTATAAATGCCCAGTCAATTTTTATTTGAATGAATAAACGCATCCTCTGCTTCCAAATGTATTTCTTTTCTTACCCTACCCTCGCTTCACCAACATGCCCTCTCCTTCAGAGCATGAAGCTCATTTGGAAGGTGACAGGGAGGCCTCCACAGATATTCGAATGAATGAGGCTAAAATGAATTACGCCAACAAAGAATGCCAGCCTCTTAACGCTGGGCTATTCCCAGGAGTATTAGCGTTCTCAAACAGGAAGCCTGGATTTCAGGCATTGTTGTCAAAGAGAAGAATTTCAGGCCAGCCTGAGTTGAAGTGATATATTTGGACATAGTTGCTCTTCCATGGCTTCTTAAGTCCACAAGTATTTATTTAGACCCTTTGGGACTCCTTTGAAACCAAAGTTGACATTAAAATGTAAAGCAGTGATTGAAAAGCATTGTTTGTTTCTAAGGAGAGAACTGTGGATGAGGAATCAGAGGGCTGAGTTTTAATCCTGGATGTGCCACTAATTAGCTCCTTCGGGAGGCTGCCGAAGATAACCAGCATTCACTGAGCGTGTGTCGTGTGCCTGGCCCTGAGCTGGGCACTTTACTCACACATATTATTTTTGCATCTCTTCGAGCTAGTTTTTTTGAAATTGTATTTATTATTATTTTAATCCTCACCAGAGGACACGTTCATTGATTTTAGAGAGACGGGAAGGGAGGGAGAACGAGAGGAAGAGAAACGTCAACTGGCTGCCTTTCTTACTCACCCCGACCAGGAGAGAACCCGCACCCTAGGCATGTGCCCTGACCAGAAACCGAACCCATGGCCTTCCAGTTTGAGGGATGACGCCCAACCGAGCCACACCAGTCAGGGCTGAGGTGGATAATTTTATTATCTGTATTTTATAGATAGGGAGACAGGTTCAGAGAAGTCAGGCATCACGCACGAGGGCACTTACTAATAAACGACGCAGCCGTGAGCTCAGAGCCTGCATTCCTTTTCCTTCCCCTGCTCCTTGATTCACTGCCTCAGGCCTCCTGTGAATCTATTAACTGGGGGCAGGAGAAGAAATTCTTGGGCTCTAAGGACTTGCTAAGATCCCTTCCATAAAATTTCTTTACTATACCATTTCTGGATATGGGAAGGAGAGGGAATAAATCTGCCGCTGAGAATTAACTCATTTGGGAATGTAGCCTGGTGATTAGAGTGAAGGCTTGGAGGTAGGTTTCCTGAGTTCACTTCCTGCCTTTCCCACTCACCTTCAGCATCTACGACATGGGTAGTCTCAGAGCACCTACCTCCTAGGTTGTGCTGAGACGTAACTGAGATGATGCCTGCAAAATGTGTGGCCCACTGGGCCATGCTTAGGGAGCTGGTCAATTTTGAGAAGTGCCTGCAGGTTGAGGCTCCCCGAGGCAGCGTATCAGCCAAGTAGATGCCCAGGGGGGCTCTGACACGCCAAGCAGAACTCCCATCAACAGCAGGGGCAGGAGGAGAGAGTAGCTGAAAGGCAGGAAGCTCAGAGCCCACAGGAAACATTAGCTAGAGAAACAAATTGTGTTCAGAAAAGCCCAGCCCCATGTGAGGGCTGAAGGCTTGAAGCTTGGAAGCAGGAAAGGGAGCCCCATGAAGAGTTTAAAGTAACTTACTGCTCTACTGTTATTTTTCACATCTGTACTATTTTCTCTGATTACCAAGGTAATACATTAGCACTTTACAGAACTTTATATAATGCACATAGCAAAAGAGTCCCCCATCCAAGTTTTTAAAAAAATATTTACTCATGTTTAAAACAGATATGAAAATGCATGGCATACTCAAGGAGTTGTCTCAAAGAGGTTACACCGGTCGACCAGCACCCAGATCGTGGGCCAGCACCCAGATTACGGAACATAATGTTATCAGAACACCATAAGTCTCCCTATTTGCCCCCTCTAGTCATTACCAATCCCAGTAGGAATCTCTTTCCTGATTTCTTTCCCCTTAGATTAGTTTTACCTTTCAGGTTTCTTTTATTTATTTACTGATTTTTAGGGAGAGAAACATTGAATTGTTGTGCCACTTATTTACAAATTTATTGGTTGACTCTTGCATATGCCCTGACCAGGGATTGAATGTGCAACCTTGGCGTATCAGGACAATGCTCTTACCAACTGGGCTACCCAGTCAGGGCCTACCTGTTGTTAAATTTTAAATAAATGGAATGGCACAGAGTATACCCTTTTGTCTCTGGCTTTTTTCACTCAACATTATGCTGTGAGATTCATCCATATTGTTCTTTAGTATTTCATTATATAGCTATGTCACAATTTATTTATTCATTTCATTGTCAAACACTAATGGGTATTTGGGTAGTTTCCAGTTTTCAGGTATTGTGAATAATCCTGAAATAACTCTTGTACATATCTTCTGGTGAACATATGCACTCATTTCTCTTGTGTATATCCCTAGGAGTGGAATTGCTGGATTATAGCATGAATACATATTCAGCTTTGGTAGTTACTGCTGCCCAAAGTCTTAAAGAAATATTTGAAGTACATACAAGACCTCTGTGTGGGCTCCAAAAGAAACTTCAGAGAGTCAGAGCTCTCTAAGAGGATGAGGAGGGGGCAGTCCAGTTGCACTTGTCCAATGGGCTCCTGAGCGGTCTCTCTGTCTCCAATCCACCCATGACACCATGGCACATGACCTGCCCCAAATTCCACTCTCATCTTGTCATTCCCCTCTACCTTCCCCAACAAAGGCCCTTCTTTTAAACACTTCCAGGGTGACATTGGATCACATACCTGTTCACTTGAAGATCTTGGAGTGGATTTTAATCATTTCTTATATTCATTCATCCATGTAACAAATATTTAGGGTCTACAACTCAATTGCATTGTTTTAGAATCTGGGATTGGAGAAATATACACCTACCCTTATGGAGCTAACATCCTAGTAGAAAAAGAAAGACAATAAACCAATAACATGTTAGTGGTAATAAGAGCTCCAGAGAAAAATAAAACAATATAAGGAGAATAAGAAGGTCAGGTGGTGGAAGAATATGCTATCGTATAACTGAGTGGTCAGGGAAGGTCTGTAAGGCAGCTAAGGTCTGGGTTATGTTTTAAATGATCACTCTAGCTATTATGAAGGAAATGGGCTACATGGGGGCAAGGTGAAAGAAGGGAGGCAGGAGGCCATCGCAAGAGTCCAGGCAAGAGCTGATGGTAAACTGGACTAAGGTGACGGCAGTGGTAGCGATGGGAAGCGGCTGCATTCGACATGCATTCTAGGACTGATGAGATTGGCCAGTGGATTGGCTGTGGAGCAGAAGAGGAGAGTCAAAGCTGTCTTGTTTCCACCAAGTGCAATGCCTGCTTTCATATGCAGCCAGGGATTAGTTCCTGAGTCCATGATCTGTTGACTGAATGGGTAGATATCTCCCGGTTACAGCCAGGCAAACTTCCTGTGTGAAAAGTCTCAGAGGTAGTGTGATGTAAGTATTTAGACAAATAATTGGAGTCAGACTACCTGTCCCTGCTGTCACTTACCAACTCCAACTGTGTTTCCTTAGGCAAGTTACATAACCTCTCCGAGCCTCTGTTTCCTCTTTTGCAAAAATGGAACAACAGTACCACCATCACAGGGTTGTTGGTGATACTGAGATAGTGTATATAAACAGGCTTGGTGTAGACCTAACATCAAATCATGGCTTAGTTAAACCAGTTCCCAGTTAAAACAAGCAGACAGAAGGCTACAGAGTAAGGGTTATCTTTATTTGAATTGCGAAGTATAAATATGAACCAGTTTTGGAAATACAAGTTGTAACAGTTCAGAAATGGCACCAGAAACTTCCAGAAGGGACCATGACAGCATACGTTCATAGCTTCATTGAGGTGGGTAGGTTTACATAAAAGCCGTCCTCACCTCCACTCCAACTTCTCTGTAGCAATTGATAGGTTATCAATTACCAAGAACAGCCAGCTCCAATGTTTCCTGTTCCTCCTCAGTCTTTTTTTTTCCACTAGAACCTTCTCTCGATTATCCTCGGCTGCACTGACCCCTGCGTGGAGTAGCACCAGAAGAACGGCAGGAGTAAGAGAAATGTCTTGACACAAGGAAGAGTGAGTTCCCACTCTGTGGGCGTGGGGCGATGGGGACCGGGGGCCAGGAAAGCTGCAAGCATGGAAGCCCAACCTCTTCAGAGATTTGGCAGGGAGAGGACACAGGGAGACACCAGTATCTGTTACACTTTGACATCAGCACCTTGGGCTTTCAAAACACAAACGGTAGACAAGGTCGCCTAGGCAAGGCTGCAGTCCAACTCATAGAGTGGATCTGACAGTGTTAGTTCCCACATCCTGACCGCACAGGCCGCCCCTGGGGCGCTCTGATCATGGAAGATCTTCGGAAATGTGGACAGATGACAGATTACTACAGATGGGCCACAGAGCCACCTCAGATTTGTGGCGGACGACGGTGATGCTGAGCCAGATGGTGGGGGACTGCGGCGGGGAGGGCCAGGAAATCCCAAAGTAACAGTCTAGGCACTTGAAATATTATTGTTAGATTGTTAAAAACTAAATAAATTAACATACATAGAATAAAATAAATATATAATTTAAGAGGCATTTTTACAAACAAAAAAAAAAAATAGTTGTTATTTTTCCATTCTGGTAGAAGTCCCAAAATTCAGAGTTCTCAGGCTTATGGTATTTCACAGTTAGCTCATCAAATCCAGCGCTGGAGGGTCCAAATGGCAGATCCCTTGGTGACTACTCGAGTCTGTCGCTTTTCAATCTTTGTTACTTTCTTCGAGTCCACAAATCTTTCTTTCTTCTTCTCCTTTCTTTTTTTTTTTTCTTTCAGTCAAAGATCCTGGAGCATATGGAATTTAACTGGCATCTTAATCCAGAAGACAAGTGTTTAAACAAACTTTAAGGGGTTAAGTGGGGTTTGGTGGAGGGGAATCAGAAGGGCATGAAGGTCCCTCATTTTGCTTCCTTCTGACCCAGATCCCGTTGGACATATTCTGTTTGGCACTTGAAGGCTCTGGTAAAGCAATTAAGGGTGGCCTGATCTAGATGGCAACTGGGGACAAAGGAGTCTTCATGGCTTGTTGTGAAGTCCTTCCCCTCTGCGGAGTCTGTGATCAGCTTGTGTCTTCTCAGAGGTAGCAGTCCTCAGCTGATTCCTAAAGCACAAGAGGAAGAATCTTAAAACTGCACCCAGTCATAAGAGGTCTTAAGAGTCTCCTGGGTCCTGTCTTCATAAGTGGGAAGATCATCATTGGGGGGGCGGGGGGGCGTGGAAGGAGAGGGAATGAGGGCAGGAGAAGCTGTCCTCTCAGGCAGCCCTTTTGAAATCGATTCTGCAAGGGGACACTGACTCTGCAGGAGCCTGCCCTCCCTGGCCAAGCCAACCCCTAGGCCAAGAGGAGAATTCTGCATGCTTGGAAACAGGGCGCAGGAAAGGTGGTGATCATGCCAGGGGGCAGAGAATGGGCCGTTACCTCGAGCACAAGTCTCTCTCAGTGGGAAGTAGTCATGCCCAACTTCACTTTCTCTTCATTTTCCACATTATAACCTCCTCTCCTATGGTACCTGAGGAGGGTTAAGTTTTGTGAGCGAGCTCTGCCTGCTACAACAGGGCGCAGGTTCCAGAGAGGGTCCTTCTAAAGGATGATGCCATGGTGGTTCCATCCACTACTGGGAAAAGCCCAGAGGTATGGCAGCCCAAAAGACCTCTAACCAAAGGTCCAGCTGCCCCAAGGGACCCAAATGGTCTCTAACAGCAGGGTACTATTTGCTAATTTATACCTCATTTATACAATCCTCACAACGTCTTTATGAGGTAGGTGGACAGAGATTACAATCACTGAAGGATTACAACCTTCAGAACGACAGGTAACTTGGTCCAGGTCTCAGAACAAATGAGCTGTGCTTCTTGAAAATGAGCACAGTGCTTGGCAGGCCTCCCCCAGCCTAGGACCTGGATTGGAAGCATGGCCCGAGTTCCAATTGCCTCAGAACTGGAATGATACACCAACAGCACTGCCCATGACTTGAACTACCAAACCACACACTCATGCCATCAAAGAACAGAGCAAAGAGAAAGAACTGTGTGGAGAGGTGGCTCCTTAGGTGGGTTACCAGGCCTGCTGTGAGTAGCCAGACATGCTATAGCCTGGCGGGTTTGGCCCTGGACTCATGTCATGCCAGAGAAGTCAGGTCCTTGGAGAACCTGTCCTCAGGAATGCAATCAGAATGCTAGCCCAGAATTTGGGGAGCTTGGAGGGCTCGTGTGGTCACCAGGCAGAAGACCCGGGAGGAAGAGGGGAAATGGAAGTGATTCGCAGAAAGCGCCTGCAGGGGCCCCAAACACTCACCTAAACATGAGAAGCCCCACGATGACGAGCAGACAGACAGATGACAGCACCACAGCCACCACAGCCAGGATGGTTGTGTGGTCATAAGTAGATAAGCGATTTTCTACTGGAAGGCTCAGCCCATGGCACCTCTCTCCGTGGTAACCGGCGTGGCAGCTGGTTCAAGACAGAACAAAGCAGAGATGAGGTTAGTGCTGTGGCCTCTCACTCTTGCCAACGGCCCGCCTCCATGAGCCAAACCCCATCCTCACACCCTCAGCCTACCAGTCCCTGACCACGATCCCTGCCCTCTGTCCTTCTCCAGCAGGGACTTGTAAAGGCCCCACTCAGGGCTCTGTGGCCTTCCGCCCCCACCCCACACCCCCTTCTCCTCTCCCTCTGATTCTCTGGCCTGAGATTCCTGCTCCAGGCGAGGAAAAAGGGAGGAAGGGACTTCAAGGTCTCAGCTAGATGTGTTCCACGTGTGGATGATTTATTGCATGTGTGTGAAGATGGTCTGTTTAAGCCGGTTGAAGGGACTTAGTTACATGAGTTACTGGTGGGCTGAGCTGAGGAGATTCAGTGTCGCTCCCCCTAGAGAGGCCCCTCAACACTCTGACCCAGAAATAAACCCGGCCTTCCCCATCTATACTTCCCGAGAGCAGTCCCTCTCTGCCACTGCCCAGCCTATTAATAGGTCCTGCGCCTTTGCCAGAAGTCACTTTTCTCAAGTCCCCTTCATTTCACTCCCAGCTCCCCCTGGGTGCAGGGCCCAAATTGAGAGCTCAACTTCGGCCTTCGGCCTCTGAATTCTGCGCTATGGGGCCTCCTGCACTGCAGGACAAAGCAAAGCAGCCAAGGTGACATCTTGCCCAGATGTCCTACCAGAGCATGGAAAAATGTCAGGAACAACCCCGTGGCTCTTCTCACTCTAGAAATAAATCAGATGACAACTGCCTCTTCTAACACAAAGCATTTCCTGGAAACTCTTAGGAAGACTCGGAAGCGCTTACAATTGAGCATGCACATTTCTGTCCCTTCCTTCCTCGGAGCACCGGGAAACCCTTTGATGTAGGTAGGGATGGCATGGGCACGCAGCAGGACAGAGATGTGGACTGCGCTGTCTGAGTCTGAGCTCAGTGAGCTGCCCACTCACACGCGTAACTGCCCACTCCTCAGTCAGAGGGCGCAGGGCACTGTCTGTCTGGGGACTTTCGGCCACTAGCTACTGCAAAAAGCACTGAGCACTTAGGGCCCTCTATTCTGAGCTCAGCCTCCTTTTGGGAAGCAGGTTGTGCACCTGGGGCCTCTGAACAAGGAATCCCTTCTTCCGGCTGACAGGCACCCGGGACGCAGGCCTGTCCAGTTCTGGCAGCAGCGGAGGGGCCAGGCTGGCCCTGCCTTCCCGCCTCAGCTCCTCCTGGGTGCTTTGGGGACCACCCCACCGCAGGATAAATGTAGGTCAGTTTCCCTGTACACACAGCAGAGCATGCTCCATGCATCTGTCTCATTGGCTCAGGTGGGAAAAACCACGACCTCCTTCCCGCCAGGACGTGGAGGGAACTCTCAGGAACACCCAAGGAAAGGCCTTCGTGCACAGACGTTCACAGTTTATAAGACACTATCCTCATCTACGAGCTCAGCTGAGACCCACAGCACCTTGGTAGGCAGGTACAGCCCAGTTTTACAGATTGAAAGACTAAGATTAAGGGTCAGAGAGACTGACTTGCTGAAAGTTAAACGACTAGAAAGCAGCAGGGCTAAGACTAGAAACCGGTCTTGGCAAATTCTAAATTCATAAACAGTGGGGGTTAACCCAGGAAAACACAGTGTCTGATGGGTCGATAGGCTCCTCAGGCTGTTTGGCGCTGCTCCCTGACCGGCACTCTTGCTGTTGTTACTGTTGTTATTGTTATTATTAACTTGAATAACAAATAAGCCAAGTACTCAGTGCCAATTTCTTTACAAGGATCATTTCATTTACTCTTAAAAACATCTCTGTGAAGTAGGAATTACTATCCCCATTTTAAAGATGAAGAGATGAAGGCTTCTCAGATAATTTGCCCCAGGTTACACAGCTAGTGAGTGGTGGAGCTAGGACTCAACCCAGTAGACTGGGTGACTGCAGAGACTACGCTCTCCTGGGGGGAGGGGAGCTGAAGCGGAGCCTGTTTTTCACTTCCAGCCTATCATTCAAACCCCACAGGTAGTTACTCAGATGATAGAAATAAAGGTTGGCCTCAGAGTCCTGCAATTCAGTTACATAATCCCTCCACCCCCACCCTGAGTCAAAAGGATAATAATGTAAACATCCTAATATTACCCACCTCCCCCTCCCTCTGCAGCAGGCTCCTGGATTCCCCAGGGAAGCAGGGAGGACGAGCACATTCCAAACATCTCCGGGTGGGGGCGAGATCATGTGTCTTCCCCAGAGCCAGCATCAGACTGGGACATGTCCCTCCTACCCACGTCTGCGACCCATTTCTACAACATAAGCAAGAACCTCTGGGGTCCAGAGACACCTTGCAGGCTGGGTTTCGCCACCTCTACTCCAGCTTGGGGCCGGGGTCGTGGAGCCCCTGACTCCCAGACTGCTTCTGCCACTATTTCTAGCCAGGCACTCTTGAGCAAGTTACTTTTACCTTTTCCAGGCTTTGCCTTTTCTCATGTAAAACACGGGAATAACAAATGCCCACCTCACTGGAGGTTTGTGAAGATCAAATAATATAGATAAAAGCATTTGATAGGAGGCTAAGCCCCACATATGTGTGCATTACTATATAATTGGACTCCAGAGGGTACCGCCCATACCCGAGGACTAGGGCACCAAAGTCAGATGGAGCCAAAGAGCAGGGGCTCGCCGCTCCTTCTCAGCCCCTGGCGGCGAGGCGAGCAGGGCTCCCAAGCCGCCCCTCTGCGGGCTCAGAGCCCCTCTCAGCCCAACTGCCCCAGCTTTCCTCCAGCCACAGGAAACTTTGCAGCCAATATCGGTCGGCAGGCAGTCAGGAGCCCCAGGAAACTGCTCGTTGAGGGCAGCTTTTGGCTAGTGACACCAAAGAGTTCTCCTGCGGATGGTGGCTGCAGAGGGCTGTTTTAGGAAGCCAGCTAGCCTCAAGCTCACCACAGCAGCCTGGACACACCCTGTGGCAGTTCCTGGGTCTGGAGGCAAGGATGAGCCACAAGGGGCCCCAGATGTAGGTATCCAGATGTCGCATTCCCCCAGAGCAGGAGCTCTGCGTCTCCTTGCTGCCTTCTGCCCTGAATACCAGGGGGCTGGAGGCAGGAGGCGGCCCCACCAGACCCAGAATCCAGCCCCTTGAAAATATGCCTACGAAGCAGACACAAAGTCTTCATATCAGATTGCCATTCTCTTCGCCTAGTAAAAGGCTTTAGAGGCCCCTAGGCTAACAGCTGCCCTCTGTAAAACCCTGCTCAATCCCTGTAAGGACAGACGGGGAAGAAGGATGCAAGCCAGCACCGGGAGCAGCCCGGGGACATAAAAAGCATGTTGGACTGCAAGTCAGGCACCTGAGTCCCTGTCCTGTTTCCATCCACTTATTTAGCTGTTGATCTCAGGCAAATCACACTTCCTACTTCCTGGCTCCAGTTTCCTTATCTTTCAAGTAAAGAGAGCAAGCCCTGTCTACCCAGCCCCAGAGGGCTTTTGAGAATCCCAGGACAGGACTGCATCTCCCCAGCCCCTGGAATAGCTGGCATCAAGTAGGCGCTCAACATACACCTGTTGGGCTCAGCTCATGTTAAATGTAAACTATGAAGCTTCAGGCCAAAGAGAGAAGCATCACCATGGTTACCATCACCACCCCGAGGGCCACCATGGCCCTGGGCACCGTTATCTAGGTTCTGTGGGCTTGGGTGGCTGGTGGAGCCCAGCTCTCTGGGACAGCAGCCTTACAAGGGTTTACAGTTGAGCAGTGGAAGTCCATCCACCAACGCCCTGAACTGGTTTGGCCCAGACAAATTCCTGGCTTCGATCCCTCTTGACTACCCTCACAGTCACTGCCTCCGCCCTATGCCAATGATGCTATTTTATAAATTTAAGACAAACATTTCCTGCCTCTTCCTGAGACCTTCGGGAAGAATTATATGGAGACTGTCTATGTCTTTCTTGAGCGACCCTCTCCCACTTTCAAGCTCCTGATGAGGATGTTATAGCAGAGAATACACGAGTGACCGTGAACATGGTGGGGAGTGACGAGTTTGTCTGCCACTTGCTAAGTACAGGGCAGCTCTGCTATGTGAGATCAAATGGGACAAGGAAGCTTTGAAAAGCCAAAGGATCTGCACCCTCACAGGAGAAGAGATGCCAGGCAGCCAGTGTTCCTGACGGGCTCGAAGGTGGTGTGCACCCAGCCACCTCCTGGCCGTGCCCAGAGGCTCCCGGGTCACAGAGCCTGCCTCCCTGCAGGGCCTCCTGCCCAGCAGAAGAGAGTGGATGTTTACAGCCTGACGCGGGTGCTGGCCCCAGGCACACTGGCGACATTATGCCTGCCAGAGAGCGTGGCAGTGCCGTCATCCCTCAGGGGTGCCAAGACAGCCGTTCTCTGGGCTTGGCCTAATAGATCAGCTGGGGAACCCACGGCCCCTCCACCCACACCCCTGCCCAGGGAAGGGTGATGCTGCCTGTCTGGGGCTGACGCCTGCTGGGTCGGGTTCCATTTCCTGTTAATCTGGCACAAAGGAGTGTTCTCCCACCCTTTGGCCAAAGGCCAACACCCACCATGTCCCCCACCTCCTCGCCCTTGTTGGGGGGGAAGGTGAAGGAAGGAGGAGGGGTTTCTCCCCACTCTCATGATGATCACTCTCTGCAGTCCTGCCGTGCCTTAGATTCAACCCACATTATCTCACTCTTGTGCACGCGTGTTCGAGTACACACGCACCTGCACAGCATGTGTCCAAGTGCACCTATCTGCCTGCAAGGACTTGAGAAAGGAAACGATAGGAGCTCCATGTCACCCAGAAGTACTCCGCCATGTTTCCTACTGGTTTATCCCATCTGGAGTAGACATGAAGCAGGAATGAAGGACCTGTCTTCAGGTGTCAGTCCTCCTAGCCACATGCTTATTTCTGAGCAAGCAGGAAATGTCCCCAAGGATGAAAGAACGTCATAGACCCACACCACAGGAAATTGCATCCCATGCAGGGGAAGCCCCTTCCTCCAACTAAAAATATTTCCCTTCCTCCCAACTTCCGCCCAGAGGTTGAGAAGAAACTGGGTGGAATTATGAATTCAAGGAACAGTGACAACTAGGAACAGCCACGTGGTTGACAAAGAGTGTGCTGACAGTCAGGCTGGCGGCAGGGACACTTACACACAGGATGGGGACCGGATCGCCTTCACATATCTGCAGTCTCCATGAATGCAGTAGTCCTTGTATCTGCGAAGACACGGGTCTCTCTTCTTCCCCAAGCCCTTGCCTTTCTTCTTTCTTTTCCCACGCTCCTCCTTGCTGGGTGTGGCCAGAGCTTGTGGCTTGGCGGAGAAAGCTACTGTAGGAGACAAGTGCTCTGTTAAGTCTTTGACTCCCAGGCAAAAGAGTCAGAATAGCGCAGCATCTCAAAGGAGGATGTTCTCTTTGATCCCACCTGAAGTCAGAGGCTTGGGAAGACCCGTTGGCTCTGTGCCTCCCAAGGACTGAGGGTAGACTGGGCAGAACCACCAGAAAGTGTTAGAGGAAGTAGAGGCTAGTGGGGGTCCAAAGGAAGGCATTTCACAAACTCAGTTTAAGAGGCTCATTCCAAGAACGCTAGCTCCTCTTGAGTAACTGCAGCTGACGGGGCAATTCTACAAACCTCACCCCCATCCCACTGGCCATGCCGTCTCCTATGGCCCCACGCCCACTTGGTTCTATTTTGGCCTTAAATCACTTCCTGATACTGCACTCAGTGACCCAATTGCAGGAAGACAGTGTCAGAGATAAAAATTGCTGTTGCGGAAGGTTCTTGGTGGGTTGGTTTTTTTTTTTTTTTTGTGCGGGGAGGTGCTCCTTAAGGAAGAGTGGTGCCCATGTCCAGGTGGCCTGCCCTGGGGTACTTACTGGCACCAGAGCACCAGGGCCCCTGTGCAGAGCCAGGCTCAGGGGCAGCAAGCAGCCCATCCCTGGCCAGGGCCTTGCTTTTTTGACTTCAAGCAAAATATTTACCCTGCTCTGTGCCCTTTGCAGCTCACTCACCACTTCCCTCAAAGGTCCATTTACACATGCCCCCAAATGTCCTGTTTATAGCTCTCTAGGATGGGAAGTACAGTGTGCACAAGGGGTAGAAAGATAAAAAGTAAGGAACTACCCAGAAGGAACTGGGACAATGATGGCCACCCCCATCCTTTCCATTCTTCAAAGGGGTGAAACCACCTCACCCAGACATCCCGCCCGGATAGACCGTGGGCGACACCCATCAGCTCAAGGGTCTGACACCAGACCCTCTCTTCCCTGCCCACAGCGGAAAAAAAAGATGCCCGCTGTCCATGGCTGTAGTCACGTGTCTGGTAGATGGGTCAACATCAAACACTAGACTGGAGACCTAGGATCCCCAAACTGAAATAGCGTGGCTTCCTATTTCAAATGAAAAGCTTGAGGTCCCAAAAGGCAGAGGCTTGCCTGAGGTCATACAGGGGTGGGGTCAGAAATATAGTCTCTGGACTCCATATCCAATGCTCTTTCCCAATACACTAAGCTGCCTTACATTCCCTGCCCCCTCCCCTGGACAAGCCTGGAGCACCTGGGATGTTGAGCCAGGAATGAGACAATGAATGGGCTCTGAAGTCAGCAGACCTGTGCTACCATTTCAGCCACGTGCTCTTGGATAAGTTGCTTAGTATCTCAGAATCTTGGGATTCTTGGTAAAAAGTGGACAGTAGGAGCTCCCCTTTCGAAGGGTTTCTACAAGGATTAATTAACCTACAATGACATGTGGAGTGTCTAGAACACAGCAGGTACTTAATAAATGGTAACATTTATTTTAAGTGATAGGATACCCAAACCTGAGAAATTATCTTCATCCAGCAAAGCCAAGGGAAGGGAAGAGACACAGGTGCCACCAGCCCCCAGTCCCCAGTTTCCTCCTGTGCAGACCCAGGCCCCTTCCGAGCTCAGAAGGTGAGGCAGATGCCCAGAGGAGCTCTGTGACCAGAGCTGTGGTGAAACTGAGGCAGGTAACCCAAGCCAATCAGAAAGGGGAGGGAGTGACAGGTTGACAGTCAGTCTCCTGCCCAGGAGAGGGAGCAGTGAGTCAGGTCTGCAGAGGTATGAGGAGCAGCCGTGTGGGTGGAGGGAGAGTCATAGCCCAGCTCTGCCCAGCCTAGGAAAAGAGGGTCAGGGGCATTCAGGGGTGACCCCAAAGGTCCACTGTGAGAGGATGAAGGGTGGCAGCCCAGGTTCAGCTTTGCAGCAGAACCTTGATTTTACAAAGCCGAGACAGCACCTAAGGGAAGGGCTGGGGAAAGAGGGAGATGAGTGGCTGTGGGCGGGGCTAGAGCAGGTGGGTATCTTCCCAACCAAATATAGTCGTTCCGGTCCTCCAGGGCTCAGTCCCTGCTCCACCCTCAAGAATTGCTGCAGGTGGCTGGGGCCGGGGAGGCAGGCAATGCCAGAGGCTCTGGACTCTGCCCTGTCAGTTCCTATACTCCGACACGGCCACATCTGCTGGCTGGAGGATCCCACCGGGCCCTTCCTCCCTTGGAGTTTCTCTCAGGGACTCAAGGGGGTCAGGAAGTCTCCAGGCTTCGGGCAGGATTTGTAGACACCCAGCATGTCAATACAGCTCCCTAGAGACCCAGTGCCCATCATTCATAGCCTCCCCAGCAAGTGCTGGCTTCACCTGGGGAGACCAAGAGTTTTTCATTCCCCTCTTTTTCCCCAACCTGGAGACAGGTGGATGGAGAAGACTAACACTGCATACCTACTATGTGCCTGGCATCTCTCCGTCTGTTATTTTCTAAGTAACAGTCACCTGATGTGGTCACTTGTGACCATTTTTACATAGAAACTCTAGGGAAAGCATCTCAATCATTCCTTGTTCCTACCACCCAGCTTACCTCAGAGGAATGGACAGACCCCAGGCACCTTGCCTGCCTCCATTCGCTCCAAGGTACCCAGAAGGGCAACGACTTGGCGTATGGCAACCAAGGGCAAAAAGAGAGTGCGACCCATACTCCAGGATCCCTCAGTATGCTTGCCAGGCCAAGCAGCTTTTCCTTTAAGTCCTCCATGAATACCCCAAACCCACAGGTGTGCCCAAACAACATGAATCCCGGATCTGCTTATTCTTCACCTGCCCACCGGGGTCTGAGGATGGGCAGCCCCCGCACCCACCTCTGAAAAGGTCCACGTCGGCCTCTTTCAAGTCCAGGGCTTCCCGGCCCCGTCCGCCTCCTGGGGTCAGCAGCTGGTTCGTAGATTCAGTGGGAGATCCCAGGTTGCTCGTTCCACCCTCCAGCCCTCTACGAAGCCTCTCCAGGCTCTCTCCGGTCACCAACGCCGAGAGCACTGCGAGTGAGGGGGCAAGGCCGCATCAGACCCTCCGCCGAGACCCCCGATCGCGACGCACCGATGCCAGCAACCGCCTGCCAGGGAGCACGGGCCCCACCAAGTGGCCCACGCTGGGGGCGCAGCAGCGACCTTCCCCGTACCCCCAGCAGAGCGTCCCCATCCCCCGCCCCCGACCTCTGGGGCGGCGGCAGCCCTCTTACCTGCAGCCAGAAAGAGCTTCAGCACCACCGACGGCAGCAGCTTCATGGTCCCGAACCCGGCGAAGGCGGCGAGGCAGCAATCACTTTGGAGGCGGCGGCCACCGGGCGCTGGCACGGGAAACAGGCAGGGAGGAGCGCAGGAGATTCCGCGGAGCACGGACTGCTGCCGGCCGCTGGGTGCAAGTCTTGTTGGGACCTGCGCAGAGCTAGCGGCCACTGGGTGTCGTTTGCTCACTCCGTCGGTCCGGTCGTGCTTCTGTCCGCCCAAGCCCCTGCTCCCGGATCAGGCTGGCCTGCCGTGTGATGCGCGCAGCTCCCTCGGTCGACTGAGCGCTCCCGACGCGCGGCCGGGAATAAGGCTCCCGGAGGCGCCGACGCTCCGCCCCGCCTCGCACCGCCCCCTCCCCCTCCCGCGCTGGGACTCTCGCCCGGCTCCCGGCGCCTGCAACCGAGCCCCCGACCCGGCGGGCGCGGCGGGGAAGGGGGCGGGAGTAGGGGCGGCGCTCACATTTTTTGGGACCAGGCCAGGGCAGCCACGGCCTGACTGGGTAAGGCTGGTGGCCGGCTGGTGGCCGGCAGGTGGCGGGGACCAGTTCCTACCTTTCCCCAAACCCTTGTCGAGCTGCAGCCTTGTGACTGCTGAGCTGAGCTCTGCCCTTGGGCACCCCTTGTTCCTTCTCTTCCCGCAGGCCCGGTTCCTAAGGCCACCCCTGCTCCAAAGCGGGGCTCTCTACCATGTCAGCTTCTGAGTTTCGGAAAACGCTTCCTTGCCTACCAAAAAAATAATACCGATAAATAATACATTTATTCGTCATTTAAAAATTAGACATGAATACCAGGTCTCACGAGCCCGGGGTAACCAGAGTTGCTGTTGCAGACACTTGGTATCAATCCAACAAAAGCGAAGGAGGTTAGGATTCTTCCAACATCCCCTCTTCCTTCCCCCAGAGGACAGAGTATTCACTAGGATTTTGGGGCTGTGGATTATAAATTCCCAGGATTCTGGGATTGGAGAGACACAGATTGTGAAACGACCCTCATGCTTTTCCTTGTCTTTGGATACCACCTTCTTCTGCAACATAAGAACTGATACCCACTTCTGCAGGTCGCAGCTAGTTAGCTCAGGGTTGCTTTGTTCAACAGGTGCCAGGAGGGTGATGCATTTCTCTTCCAACCTATTCATTGTTGCAGGGGTCTTCTGGAGTCAACGTCCTGACCCAAAGAAGAGACTCTCAGGAGGTATTTCAGCTCCTAGGAACGTGTCGGGGAGGGATTTGTATGACACAGGGCTGGGTTGGCATTCAGAGCCCTCAAATTGTGCCAGATAGAGCTGCTTGCTGGATTCAGCCCATGTGTAGGGATAAAAACAGGCCTGCTATTTATACACAATCTATCCTACTGTCCCTCCCCATCCCTGCTTTTGCAGGGGTCAATCAGGCTCTGCCTTCTTAGCCCGCCCCCAGCAGCCTGCCCCAGGCCTACGTTCTAAGGTGCATTGGAATCATTACAGCCCTAAATTGGAGTCCCGCCTTCTCTACTTGCTGTGTGACCTTGGACAAGATATTTAATCTCACTGAGCCTCAATTTCCAGATCTCTGAAATGGGAATAAGTAATCATTTTAATTCCTACTTTGGAGGGAGGTTTTTGAAGATGAACAAGGACACATATAAAGCAGTTATTACAGTGCCAGGCATATTATAAACTCTCAATAAATGTAACATCATCATCATCATCATCATCATCACAAAGCATTCCATCTTGGCCACTCTGTTCCCTTAGAGGCCTCTTTTCTTCCTTTCCCCCACAGATCTGTGGTTCCATGCTGTAGTTGGGCTGGTTTCAGGCAGATTACCTGTCACCTATTTGGCCAAGTGCCACTGTGGAATTATTCCTTTGAGTGGTCGGTGCTGGGCCTAGGACCTCAGTGGATGGTCAGTTGCAAGCCATACCTTTGTTCTCCCTCAGCAGCTGCCTGATCACCTGCTCCCCGCCCCCCTCCCCCCCACACACACAAAGCCACCTTGGGGTCAGGGCTCTCCCCAGGGGAGGGTGGAGAGAAACACTTTTGGACACACAGCCAAGTCACTCCCCTTTCCCCGACACAAGGCCAAGTTCACACCCTGCTTTCCTGTCCCAGCCTGCCATTCCCTTCGTGTGCCCTTCCGCCTTCTCACCCCTACATCAGCCTTAGTCCCATTCGTGGGGCAACTCCAAGCTTTCGTCACACCTGGAAGCCTCACCCCAGCTAGGTTTGTGTGTCAGCCAGGTTTTATGGGAAGGGCCTGGAAAAGAAGACAAAAGGCCTGGAATGTATTTGGGACAGTCACTTCCCCTCTCAGAACATTGAGTATCTCCTAACCCAAAAAGAAATTGCAATTAACGCTGGGGCAAACTCATTAACTCATTTACCCCACGAATATCCACTGAATGCTTTTCAGGCACTAGGGACACAGCAGTCAACCAGACACCAAGGATGTGCTTTCACAGAGCTGATATTCTGCAGTAGGGGGAGACAGGCAGGACAAAGGCAATAAAAAAGGAAAAATAAATGCTATGCTGTCAGGGCCAAGATAAAAGTTAAAATGCAATGATGTACTATAAAATGATGTGTCCCAGTGCTTGGGATGACAATTTAGATTTGGTGACTGATTAGCAAAGGCCTCTCTGAGCAGGTAACATGTAAGCTGAGGCGTGAATAAGAAGAAGGAACCATACTTGTGGTTGTCCATGGCAAAAGCTGCCCACACCGTGCAAATAGTGCAAAAACTCCGATGTGGAACGTTCAAGGAACAAAAAGGAGGCCAGAAAGGAAGGAGGGCTATGACACAACATTGGAGAAATAGCTAGAGACAGATAACAGAAGAAGTTACAGGCCAAGGTAGACACTGGATTTTATTCCCTACCATTGTGAGCATCCACTGAGATGTCAACGGGCAAGTGCAGTTAGGCAGATTCTTTGACGTCTCTGTGACCTGCTCTTTGGCTGTCAGGTGTCAGAGACACACTTCTAAGGAAGCAGAGTCCCAACAAATGGGCCACTCCACTTTCCCTGACTGCCTGTTGACCATGAGAAAATTGAGGCTGAGAGACTTTCCGGCACCAGTGAGTCAGAATGGGTTAGAAACCCTGGTATCCTGCTTCCCAGCCCAGTGCTGGGCGCCAGGCCTCTGGAGGGGCAGGTCCATGACACTCTGAGTGCCACTGACTCACTGCCAAGCCATATAGAGCTTGATTTGGGGAGCACACTCACAAGCCAGCGGGGGTTGGGGGGTAGCTGCACAAAAGGGATGCCAGTGGTGTAAGAAAGGGGGGAAAGGACCTTAGAAACCAGTCTGAGTGCCTTCCCCATTGTGGCTAAGATGTCTACACTAGTAGATTGGTTCCCCCGAATGAGGCTGTGCATTGGAATCATTTGGGAATCTATTAAAGATAAAAAGCGCTAAGGCCCAGCCCAGTCCTCCTAATTCAAAATCTCCTGCTGCGGGGCCCAGGTATTTACACATTTGGCAAGTAATTCTTACATCAGCCAGGTTCAGAAGCACTGGACCGCACAACTAACCGGGAAAATGTGTCCAGCATCTGAACAAAATCTGAACCTTTAAGGCACAGGCAGAGGAGCTTTAAGTAAAGAAACTTCCCACGTTATCAACACTGCAAGTGCCTTATCCTGGCGCGACCCTCCCAACTGCCCTACAAGGAGACAAACCTCCCCATTTTAAAGGGCTGAAGCTTAAAGAGGTGAGCACCAGCCCATGGTCACCCTGATAGTAAGAACCTCAGCCTCAATTTTCCCTGGACTTGTGCTCTTCAACTCAACATTGCCCTGAATAAGTGGATGAGGCAACAGCTGCCCTCTGTCTCTTCTAGCAGCAGTAACATCAGCCTTACTGAGGCTCAGTGCTCCATCTGCCCTGGAGGTGAGGATAAGAATCTCTGCCTGATGGGCTGGGAGCAGGGCAGCTGGGCAGCCGGTGAAATGGGTTCGTTCTTGGGAGCCGGACAGCCATGGGTTCAAATTTTGTTTCTGCTATTTTTTTTCAGCTTTCTAACTTTGGATATTTCATTCAACGTCTCTGGCCTACAGTTGGCTCAACTGCAAAATGAAGATAATAAAAGTAGCTATTATTATAGGACTCTTGTGATCATTAAATCAGATCATGTGTATAAAGGAGAATATGATGCCTGGCCCATAGAAGGTGCTTACTCAGTAACAGTTGTTCCTAAGAACAAATGTTCTTTCTTTCTTTCTCTTCCTTCCTTCCTTCCTTCCTTCTTTCTTTCCTTCCTTCCTTCCTTCCAGGGGGAATTTAAATAAGTTGTTTACTCTAGGCCAGCCATCCTCAGAGCTGAAGCTTCCTCCCTGATGATAGATGTCATGCTTATCAATGAGATGGGCATCTGCAAAGACACTAGTTTTTGAAGCGCCCACCCAAGAAAGCAACCCTGAGCTCAGAGATAAGCATGTGCTCCCAGGGGAGGGGACTCAGCTGCTTTCTCCTTCCTCTCTAACCAGGGGAAGTGAGCCCCAAGCAGACCCAGAGCTCTGCTGGCAGGGAAGGGCGGTGAAGGAGGGGAGCCTCCATTCAGGATACTTCTGTGGCCAGGAGGCCATGAGCCCAGGGTTACCTAAACTTGAAGGCTCAGTGCAAGGGGTCACTGCTCCTTGACCCAGGTGGGCTTCTCTCAACCCTGTTCTCTCTTCCCACCTGAACCAGCTGTTCAGGCAGTTCTGGGGACGCAGCTGGAGTTGAGCTCACTTGGAGTCCCGTTGCACCTCCTACGCTGACTGGAGGTCGTACCAGATAAGCCTCGAGCAGGAGCACACTCGGGGGCAGACAGGCTCTCCTGTCTGACTGCCTGGGGTCAGGATCCATTTGAATAGGATGAAGAATAGGAATGGCTGAAGAGGGGAGAGTGTTCAAGAGGATCAGGAATCACTGGTATCCTCAGAAGATGTTGAAGAAGTGACATTTATAATAATGTACTTGGCTCAGGCCTGGATTCCAAGCCTCCTGCCTCTATTTTGGGGCCCATTTCTGTGACTTTGAGGAATTAACATCTCCAGTCCCAGGGCTTTGGCCCTTTCCCTGTGCGTCCCTAGGCGACTCTCGGTCAGCAGGGAGGGGGCAAGTGATTCCTCACTCACCGTCACACAACCCACATCCCTCTTCAAGCCTCAACTTCCTCATATGTAAAATAAGGGCTTGAAACAATTGTTCTGTTTCA